GCTTGATATCACAATCTCGCAAGTTATCGGTTTAACAAAGTCGCAACTCTCTCTTCAAAACTTTCAAAAGCTCCTTAATTTTTCTTCCGCCAACATAAATATTTACTCTACTCCCAAACGCCATCTAACGGATGCCGGCTGGAAATACTAGAAATTAATATGGCAGCAAATCAGCGCACAGTATCTCGGTAGGCAATGGCAAACCACCGAGAAATATCCTTACCGCGTTGTACACATCTCTAATCTCTAAACAAAATCGTAGTTTGAGAATCGACGTTAAACTGTAGGTCCTTTATTGTACAATTAACGTGCACCACAGGCATATCAGAGAAGTCATCATCATCTATCAGACCCAACAAACGAGAGAATGGATTCAAATGGATTGAAATTTTTTTCTATCCGAATACGCGCGCGTATTTTAAATAGCGAATACTTTTTTTGGGATTTAATTGGACTTAATTAGATTCCATTGGATGCAATTGGATTGAAAAACTGCATTTCCTATTCAAAATTTTGAATTGAACAGCATTCACAATGCACAGAAAAAGCCAATATTATTTTTAGATTGTAAGGCAAAGAGATATGCTCCATGCAATTCTTATAAATGAATAAAAATGCATTCAGGATTGAAGAGCATTCATTTTAACATTCATGAATCAATATTTATGAAAATCTGAATCCATTTCAATTCATTTCAATCCATTCTCGTTTGCTGGGGATAAATAAAAAAGACGAGAAGATATATATATGTATAATGAATTCTGATCCGTCCTATTTCCATACAGGGAGGTTGTCCCCAAAGTTTGACTTTTAGAAATTAACTGAAATAAAAATTAATCGATATAAACATTTTCTTATATTTATATATAGGAATAAAATCACTGAAAGGACAATAACACCTGTTGTCCGTCTGATTGAAGGGACTATCGCTTTCAATTGTTGTATTCCTATATATAAGTATTTATACCCATTAATTTATATTTCAGTTAATTTTTTTCAATTAATTTTAATTATTTCAGTTATAATAAATACAGGATGTAACTAAAAGACAAACTTTGGGGACGAGCTCCTCACCAAATATAAAAAAAAGTTCATATAAACGTAGCAAATCCACTGTTATCGAGATTATTAATAAGGCTCGGACACGATCTCTCGATTTTTATAGACACTTAAAACTCTTTTAATTTATTCAGATTGACATCGAATATATATGCTACTTCAACGCATCTTTGATGCTCGTGAAACTATTCGCAACCGCTTGGGATTTATGATGTCACGATTCCACCGCGACTAGTAAGGAGCCTTAAAAATTGAATAAATTTTTGAAAGAAAAGTGACAATTTAATAACTAAAATAAAATAAAATAAAATTTTATTCTACATGATTTCGCTTCTCAATCAGAAAATGTCGTTTACGAGATTTATATATCATTCTTATAAAAAAAAAAAAAAAAACACGCTTACCTTTTAATATTAAACAAAATGCATATATATTACCAATTTTAATGCATTAATGTTTCATCATTTATACCGAATGGAAACATTGAAAATTTATTCGTTTTCTCATAAATAAATATAGCGCATGTACTTACGTATATATGTTATACATACAGAATAAATCTACGTAATACACATATAACTCATTAAATATAGGAACATCTAAATCAGTAGATGGATTAATTCATAAAATTGCATGTGTTATTTATTATTATGTTTCTCAATGATCGAGATACATATCCATATCGAAATTCGTACGTAATTCAGCTACTTAATATACAAGATCGCAACGTATATGTTAGAATGGATTGAACTGTAACGTATTCGTTAGCTTGATTCGGAAGTATTATCGCACAATCTAAAGTATTGTACTATTATATCTCGATACCTTTACGTAATCGAGTATTATTATCAATGTCACAATTTTACGATATTTGGATCCATTTCGGAGTCGCTCTGAAAAGCATCCGACGATAATTCCGAGATAATGTTTGAAATATGGAAAGTAAATATGGAAAAAAGAAATATATCTACTTTTAGATTCGCGAGCGAGCACTTCAAAGTACGTATCTGCCGAATAAGAGTAGGATTGTATAGATTTGTGTCTTGGAACGTACCACGGTACGTGTCTACCATCTAAGTATTGTTTATCAAGATATAAATACCTTTCTTCGGCAAGAAGCGAACACTTCAAAGTACGCGCTGATCAAAGAACGCTTGTCTAGAAAGAAGAAAAGAAAAAAAAAAAAGAAAAGAATCATCCGTCGTGTAAAAGACGCGTGTGTACGTGTACACGGGCTGACAGACTCTTCCTCTTCTCATCGACAATCATCCTCTATCACATACGTTCTTCTCACTATCTAGTTAGACGGCGATCGAAAAATATAAAAATCACACGCGCGCAGTACGTCCGTGTCCGACATCCCGTCTCGCAGGATCTGCGTCGTCGCGGAGGATCTTCCGCGTCAGTGCCCTATCTAGGATTCATAGGATACATCGGATCTGCGCCGATCGCGCCTCGTCTCGCTTTTGACACATGTAGGAAGAAAAGGGCTCGGATGCGCGCCGATTCACGCGCGCGAGAAGTCAGCTGCCGAATTTATGCTGCTTCAACGTCTTGGTATATCAACGGTAGGGAATAGCTGCGCCGTGAAATTCGTTGTTATCACGTGCATAGTACCTTCCCCTTTCCTCGGAATCGCTCTTCCAGATATCCTGGGATCTGAAAATTCAAAGTTCCACA